GTGATTTAACAGTTCCTAATCACATAGGGTAAGATGAGTACTTTCTACATGTAATATCAGATGAGCACTCAAAACAAAATTTCATATTTTGTCTTTTCAGATTAGGAATGCTAAACCTGTATATGTAAATGACTCTCAGGTTTGTTCATACAGCAAAGGTACAAAGTAAACAGTCTTTTAAATTGCCATTGTTTATTCCTACCTTCTGAAATAATCTTCTCATCAAGTGTTTATCATTTAAAGTCAGACACTAAACAGGGTGATAGAAGTAAAAGGACCATGGAAAGCTGGAGGCCAGCTTTGTCACTAAGTTAGTTCCAGGCTAGCCAGGCTGCTGAGTGACAACCTATCCACAAACTAAACAAAATCTAATGATCCTGTACATATGAACGCATATAAGTAAAAATAGAAGTTCAGATACTGCAATTTAAACACGCAGAGATAGGTCTGCACGGAGATAGCTGCAAACTGGATGCTTTGAAGCGTTTGTGGGTGGTGGAGTCACACTTCCTGATGTTCCGTCTCGAAGCCCAATGAGAATGTAGGCTCCAGACAAATTCAGAGAGTGAGCTTTGAACAGAGGTGGGGCACACAGTTCAGAGAGAGAGAAGGGATGGGCACCAGACAAAAGAAACAGCTCTAAGTGTAGTGGAGCTGTCACCAAAGGGCCAGTCAGTCCACAGAGCTAAGGGACACGTGTAGCCCTTCTTAGGAATATGAGGAAACAAATCCTACTCTAAAAAGCTCATTTCTCTTTCTAGACTAAGTGCCAAAATCAAAATTCAAATTCACGAGAGGGCTTTCCAAGTAAGGAGAAAGCAAAACCAGGAGAAAGCTTAATTCACTTTGAACAGGAGTCCTTTATACTGACTGTGCTGCTGAATTCACTTTGAACGGGAGTCCTTTATACTGTGCTGGCTGCCCAGTAGTTCGGAAGCTGATGAAATGAAAAACCATAAACTTAAAGGAAAAATGTGTTCTGTCACAGTCCTGGGGGTTCCAAACAAACATCCAAATTGGAAAAGGCCACTGGGAAAGAGTCACTGCCAGTGCCTCTCCCGACAGCCTAGCTGGTGCTAAAGAGCTCAAGGCTGCAAGGAACATTTGTCTTGTGAGTGTCTGTGACCCAAACTCTTGTTTTTTATGTGGATATGTGCCATATTGGATCTGGATTCCCCATTAGTTACTCATCTTATCCTGATTATCTCTGCCAAAAGTCTTTCAATTTGTCAGGTTTGGGTATTGTGTTCAGACTCTAACATATCTACTTTGGACACAGGTATAGATGTATATCTATAAACTTTAAAGGAAACCCTGAGTAATTGGTATTGGCTAGAACAGCAAGAAGGTACAGAATCCAAAGTTCACTTAAGTAAAATAATCCTGGTAAAACAAAGAACGGTCTTTGCAATACTATGTTTCTTTTCATGGAACTCTGCTATGTCAGTTTCAGAAAAAGATTACCGTTAGTGTGTGATCTTGCACAGCAAATGCCCTTGGAGTCTGCGTTGGATCTAATGAGCAAATGCAATGTGCTTAACCCCTTAGAGTTTTGTTGATACCATGGGTGCTTTGGTTTTCTTTAGAGTTAGAGGAACATGAAGCCAAAATTAGGAGAGAATATCCCAGGAGAATCTGGTTGCTTCCAGTACCTGGCAGCATTAGTTTTCCCAAGTCTGATCCTGCAATTGTTGGAGGTCATAGCGAAGGTTTCCAACTTGTTTCTGTTGGCACCTAGTGACCATCAGGACTACAAACACTGGGATGGGATGATTCCCACAGACCTAGACAGATGATGACCCAGGAAAGACACTGACTTTTAAGAGTGGAGCTCTTTCCACAGCTCCATACTTCGGGGGATGTAAGGTTGCAAGCCTCAGAAAACTTGCCAAAGAAAACAAACCCAAAGACAGAATAGTCCACAGTGGCAAAGTTGTTTCTATAACCCCAGATGGTAATATGAACAGCATGGCTGTTTCATTAATCAAATTATTTTTCAGTGACCCTTCTTGAAAACAAACAGCATTGAAGAAAGGGGAGAGATGTAATTAACTGTGCAATATTTTCACTTCCAGTGCTTCATGATGGAACAGTCTGACAACATGCTTCTGTAATGTGTATCCGTCCTCAGTTTTGCTTGCTAAATTTTATGGTGTTGTGTAGCACTGAACAGTGTGATAAATGTGACAAGCCATTCTGACATCTGCCAGCAGTAACAGAGACCTTGCCCTAGATTCCAGGAATGCTTCCAGGAGACAAACCTAATCTGTCAACCTAATTTGAGAGTTGTTATCTCCTTGCCAATAATAATAGCTAGTAGCTGGTTGTCCCAGGTATATTAAAGAGTCAGTTCCTGTTCTTCAGACTTAATCCCAAAGAACTCTAAATGGCCACCCCATGATAACATCCTGCAATGTTACCTGAGACATGTACTGGACCTGTCTCCCAACTCAACCTCTCCCTTTGCCTCTCCATCAAGTGTCCCTTCTGAGAGCACACCTGAGAAGATTCACACTGTCATTTTTGGTCCACAGGAAAAAAAAAAGAACCTACGAAAGTTGTTTGTGGGCATTTTTGTTTTGCTTCTAATCTGGAGGAAAGCAGCACAGAACTCATGGGTAATAAACTCTTAAGGGCTCAGCTGTAGGTATGATATGACTCAAGTTCTTGCTTGGTGGCATTGCTAAGCAAAAGCTGCTGTTTGCCATTATCCTTTCATCTTCCTTTACTCTTCCATATCAATTCCTTCCCCTCCACTTTTTTCAACTGTATCATGAGCACACACTAAGTGGATGACCAGAGAAGCACCCCAAAGCTCCTATAGCCTCCCATAATTCTCCTAAGAAGGCAGACACACTTTCCTTTCTTGTATGCATAGATTTTTCCCCCAGTTAATCCATGCTTTGGGGGGAATTTAACAATCAGAAGCATGAAGCCCCTACCCAACACATGCATGTTACATGGGGTACCATGAAAAGGAGAATCTGTGAGAGAGGTGCCTATTTCGTTAATCAGTCTGCCTATTCGTGAAGACTCTTTTTGGCTCCCCCCCCCCATGATATAATAACTATAGAGCAAAGAAACTTGGCTAAAAGGAAGTGGAGAATAGAATGATCAGGGAAACTGGAGGACAGTGCATGTCACCCAGAAGATCTAGGTTTTGTGGTTGTGCTCCTTTTCCAGGGATGGAACATGGTGTGGAAATAAAAACTACCTGAAGTGGGAAGGGACTTGCACTGTGGGTACCTCAAAAGTCTGTAGAATTAATTCCCAGTTTTACCTACTGTCTGAGATAACGAAAAACATCTAGGATTCCATAGCACTGTTCCTTCCTCATCTGATTCAACCTTAGGGCTATATCTTTTATGTTTATATAGCCCATATTGTGGGACAGCCTAATGTTTGAGAATTCCCCCTTGCCTTGGACTCTGGAGTCTAATGATCAACCAGTTTCCTTCTGCCTCTTAAGTTCCTTCTCAGCTCCACGTTCATTTTTTAAAATTTTCTCTTTTTAGGTATTTTACCAATGAAAAGCAGTAAGTTCTGAACCAGAGTAGAAGCAGAGGGGATGAAGAGGGTGTAAAACATAAAGACCACCTCTTCTCACTGGGATCAGGTATGTGATAACAGAACAGGTCAACGCAGTCTTTCTCCATGGTTGTCCTCTTCCATTAAAGAAGCCCCTCTCAGGATCCTAAAAGAGGCGTCCCCTCCCACCCATCCACCCACCTCTGCCTGCCCTTGTCCCTGTCCTATGAGCAGGAGAAAGTGACCATGTCTTTCTTTTGTGTTTCTCTTATGGTGCCATAAAATCTCTTAGCATAGGTCCCCGATAGCTCCATGTAGCAGGAAACTGATCCCGAATATATATATCATAGACATTGTTGTAGGAAATTCCATTTCTGTCTAAACAGAGGCTCTCCAAGATCCCCGCATGTGGATACCTTCTTTTCATGGTCTCAGTAACTCTTAACTACTACAAAGTGGAGTACTTCAACTTCTTTGAGATTAGTTTTTATTCATTGTCGTAATGTGCTGGGCAGCAAGGTAAGACTAATGTGAATTCTGAGTCAAGCAAAGCCTGAGAAATAGCATTGTTGTCCTTAACGTATTTTGATTCTGCCAAGCTCCTTATAGCATGCTTTATCTGGCTTTTCTCTCTCCAACTGTTTAAAGCACAGCACTCCAGCATGTTGACTCAAGAGCAGAAAGGACGATGCTATTGCGGTGGCACAGGCTTTTCTGTGGCCAGCATCAGCTAACAGCAGCTGCACACTGGGCTGGCAGATTCTTGGGATGATCAGTCAAAGGGATTGTTAAATTTCATGCCCAGCCCCAAACCAGGAAGTGCTGCCTAAAATGAGCCCAATACAAAAGCAATCCAATCTTAAAAACACACAGTATCCAGAAAAGAATGTAACAGTTTGGTTTGGGTTAGAGCAGGCAGGCTCCTGCTTGTAAAACATTAGTAAACTTCCAGGGGGGAGAGAGGGAGAGAGGGAGAGGGAGAAGGAGAGGGAGAGAGACAGAGACAGAGACAGAGAGGAGAGGAGAGAGGAGAGAGAGAAAGTGAATGCTCATATTCAGAGACCAATTTGTTTTTAATCAACTTTCTTATCTACCGTTCAAATTTAAGCTAGATTTCAGCTAATGGCAGATTGAAGAAAAGGTGTTTAATTCTCCAGATTCTTAAGGAAGAGGGTCTAGACCACGCCCCAGTCCAGCTCTCGGTTGCACAATCGCCAGATTGGCCTGGACAAGTTGACCCGGGAAAGGGCAACCTCAGGTTAACCCTGTTTGTGTTCCATCGAGAACCCTGCAGTTCTGAAGCCAGCTCAGGGAGGGTCTCTGGGTACGAACCCGGAGTGGAGGGTGTAAAGTTTCTGCTCTGGGCCACTGAAGAGTTCGGCCTGCCACTCTGAGCTGCAGGCAGGCAGGAAGGGGAGGGCTCGGCGGGGAAGGGGGAGCCAGCGGGGCGCGGATTCAGGGCTGGGTCGGAAAAGCTGCCTCACTGCGCCTTTCTGCTCCTCCCGCCCCGAGCTCTAGCTGGGGCCTCTAGTACAGTTCCTGCGCCTGCCCCGAGGCTGAGCCCGCAGCGGCTTCGCCAAAATGTCCCAGCCCGGACCGAAGCCCGCCGCCTCTCCCAGGACCCGCCGGGCCGCCGCAGCCCGCCACACCCAGGAGGTGAGTAGCTCTCCCGATTGAGCCGCGGGGCAAGCGACAGGGGGGCCTGGCTCTAGCAGTGGCCAGCCGCAGTTCTGGGGCGTTGCCCAACCTGTCCGGGTTTGGCATCTTCCAGGATCTGGGAAGGGATGAGGGCTCAGTGCCTGCGGGAAATCAGGTGTTCCGGGGCTCTCCAAATTGGGTAGTGACATTAGTGGGGTGGAGGGGATTGTGGAGCAAAGTGGGCTAGAGAGACAGAGTCGGTGCTCATGGGCGTGGAGGAGGAGTAAAGTTCACTAGGGACCTCCAGAGTGAGTGGGCTCGAATCACTGGACAGAGGGGGTCTGTCCAGTGAAGTCGCCCCCAATCCTCATGTAGGGAGTGGCAGCCTGAAGAACCAACACCTCTTTCCTAACTAGCCTCGGGCCAAATCGGATGGGGCGGGGCCGCGCTAGCGGTGGGCGGGCCCTAGCGCCCGTCCCCTGTGTCCTCCCACCTGGCTGCTGTGAGGCGCCCAGACCAGTGCCAGCCAGGTCCCAGCTAGGGAGAGTCAGCCTGGGACCACCAGCACCTCACTCTGCGTCCTAGACGGATCCCCAGCTGCGCGGTTCGGAGCAACTCAGTGGGTTGTCGCCATGGCATTCGCAAGCTGGTGGTACAAGACGGTAAATAAAAGCGACCTAGCTTGGGCAGGACTGGGAAGGGAGTGTATTTATTTCGCCCCTCTGGGTGGTAGAGGAAATACTGTCAGAAGTTTGAAAGGACAGGGGTGGGGACCCGGCACGACCTCCTTGCAGACCTTCTGGTAGGCTGGGGCAAAAGGCGGAGGCTCACCCTTCTGTGGTATGCGGATGCGCTCTGGGCTGTAGTCTAGGGGGCGAGGTGCACAGAACTCAGCTCTTGTGCTCCCTAGGTGAATGGAAAATAATCCTTAAATCTGCCCTTTGCAACGCATACCTGGATACATAGACAAGAGCCACTGGAGCTCAGTTCTAGTTTTTTGACTGCGAAGTAAAGCTAAAAAAAACTTTAAAAAGAAAAAAAAAGTTACACGTGCAGTTTCAAAGTCGAAAGGCGGGGAACGGAAAAGAAGAAAACATCAGGGAGCAACTGTGATCAATAGATACTTTTGAGAGAGGTGAGGGGAGAGGTGAACAAAGGGCCGGAATGGGAGAGAGAGAATGAGTATCACTCACTACGCTATATTACTTTGCCAGAGGATAAATATGTTCTATTTGGTTAGTGCACTGAATGTCAGTTCTACCAGTTAGGTGTGATATCCAGTCAAGCTGGCACTTGTAATGTTTTGAAAGCAGGAAGCATATCTTTAACATTACATCAAAACAAACAAACAAACAAGACTTTACAAACACTTTGTTTGAAAGTCATAGTTTGATTTATGACAAGACTTTCAAAACCTTAAGTTCACCTTCCTTTTAGCATGTGGTATGGGAAAAGTAAAGACATAGTAATCAGACAATCTTTGCATCTAGAAACTTTGTGCTAGAACTAGAAACTGGCTACGTGTGCAGTGAGCATTCATTGATCACCCAGGTGTGCGAGCTTCGAGTGTACTGTAGAGTTCTCTTAACCCAAACAGCAATGCTTTCATTAAGTAAGTCAGTCTGTTAAATATATTGTCATATTTGTAAACTAGCCAAGATAAACATAGGACTAGATTCACCAGGCATGCCACACATGCTTCTTCATGTGTGTTCGCCATTGCACTTTTCTGTGCTATTTATATGTATAGTTTTATTGATATGTCTTAAGAGCAAAAGTTTGCTTTGAGTCACAACTGTCCCAGAGTTCTTATCAAGATGTACCCTTTAAATTATCTGCAAATATGGATGGCAGGTGTTCAGTTAACATCAAACTTCTCCATCCAAGCTCAACATTGTCTGAAGGAAGTTGTGCCAGACTCTTTAGATAAAGATAGCTTAAATCTTTCCTTTTAATACCTACTGCACTATACTAGACACTTTGTGGTTTTTCTGCTAAAACACCCATTAGAAGCTAGTTCAGGAACTATTACTTAAAGACTTCTGCTTGGTGCTAACTTTCTAGAATCTTCAGCATTCCTGCGATCAATCTCTGACTCTACTCTAGGAGAAATATATAGTGAGCTGCACACAAGCCTTAATAAAATTAACAGCCACATTAACAAAAATATTTTAAGAAGTGAAATGAATCTTAGTAACATTTTGTTAGCCCAACCCCATCCCAGTTTACATTTAGTGTGTGATTGGGTGCTAACAATTAGGATGCTTCACCTCTTTCTGTGTCAGTTACTCAAACTCTGGATGTGCTGTATATTTTATACCCATAGTACCTCCCAATTCACATTTCCCACAAGAGCATTTGCTTGCCACTTGGCTAGTGGTATAGCATCAGACAGAAAAGCTCTATTGGGGTCAGTTCCTGAACTTAAAAAAAAAAATCCACTTATAAGTGTTCACAGATTGCTTTGAGAATTAAAGGGAAGTCAGGTAGTACTTGCTCTCAACAGTGTGCATATATAAAGTGCAGCTTTAGGGCATGCAAAGTCTGTCCATAAGTCTCTCTCCAATAGTTCACTTAACCAATTTTTAACATATAGATACATATACATGCACATGTTGTATATATTCTATATATATATAAAATATGTATACATGTTTTCATATGTGCAATGTGTATATAGTTTTTTTTATTTGTTTATGTGCCTGTGAATAAAGATAAGCAGTCAGATCCTTTTATCCTTGTATTCAGACACTAACCAAAAATAATTTTTAGAAATTGTCTTTACTGAACATGTACCATATTTTTTTGTCATTATTCCTCAAACAAAATAGTATAAAATTGTTGAAATGTCTTAATATTCTGTACCTTAAAGCACACATGGGAGGCCATACATAAGTTAGATGTAAACATGCCATTTTACACAAACCATTTGAGTGTCTGCATGATTTAGTTCCTGAAGTCAGTTTCCAAAAGATGCCAATGGATGGCTGCACACATGTCCATTTCAGAATACTTCTGCTAAGTCCTATAATTAAGATTTAAAGGCATTTAAAGAATACCTTTAGTAGGTATCCTTTAAAGTTAAAAATAATGTGAATAATCTAACTTTAGGCAGAATAAAATTAGAGCAATGTAGAGATGTATTCATTTAAGAAGATGCCTCCCGTAAAGTCAGCCCAGGAAACAAATGTTGTCTATTTTCACACTGAATCCCATCACTGTCTGAATAATTTTCTGATTACAGCAAAAAAAAAGTCACTTCATAAGACATTAAAGAGATACATTTAAAGAATATCTGGTGAGCATCATAATTATCAGACTTAAGAGTAAATTTGGGTTACATCAGTAATCAGAGTCCTGAGTCATAAGTTGATTCTATTATCCTGTGATAATTAAAGGTGCTTCTTGGTTTAATTGGATTCATAGCCACAGTGAGAGCATAATCAAGGAGCCCAGTCATTTGGAAGGCTCCACCATTTCAGCCAGACTGGGCAAAGTGTCGCAAACTTCATACGACAAAACAAGACAACTTCACTGCAATGAATTTTAGGGAAAAAAGTTAAATTATAAGGTATGCACAAGGAAGGTGGCATTTAGGGTGGAAAGAATGAAGAGGGTAAATGTCACTACTTTTTTGTCTGACAGTCCCAGAATGGATCATTTTCCATTGCATAAAAGCCTTTATAACTGAGTAACATATGATGTTGTTTTCTAGTCAATTTTGGAACTTCCCAGAAAGTTAATTACATTTTGCAAGTGCTTTTTAAAATGTGGTGTGGTGCTCTGAAGTGGAAACAGAGGGTGGCCATTTGCAACGCCAAGGTGGACAAGCGGGTAGTTAGTTCCAAGTACTTCAGGACTTGAGGGGATGTATCAGTCAGGTTTCATTTCCTCCACTTTGGGATATTCTTGATATATAAATCTTATTAGCATGGCAGTGAAGTTCTGTTTCGCTTTCTTTTTATGAAAACTTACTAAGAAAGTTTTATAACTAACATAACTTTGAAAAATGTCTATCAGGTTTTACCAGTTAAGAAAAATTACAAAAACTGTTCTGTCTGGTGAAGAATCTTGGTTGGATCAGTTACCACTTCAGATGGAAAGCCAGTTAATTCAGGAGGAGGAGTGTGCGTGCGTGCATGCATGTGGTGTGTGTGTGTGTGTGTGTGTGTGTGTGTGTGTGTGTCTGTGTCTGTGTGTATGTGTGTGTGTGTATGTTGGGGGGGTGTCCTTGTGCCATTATGTGCATGTGGAGACAGATCTGTCCCACCTGCTGTGTGGCTTCTAGGAATTAAACTCAGTTGCCCGGTTTTGTGGCACGCGCCTTTACCTACTGAACCATCTCACTGGTCCATGTTCTCTGATATTTTTTTATTTTGTTCCCACAACATTAGCTTGTGATGGACACTCACTGTTTTTTCTTTTGTATGGTTGACAACTCTATCCCCCCACAGTTGTCTTTTCTGTGAGCTTTGACATTTTTTCTGTTTTAAACTAGAACAGCTAGGATTTTGCCTTTGGGTGATTCTGGGAGGTAAACACTCTTGACATAAGAGTCAGCTGAAGCTTTCAAAGTTGGTCTTAATAACTTTTACATATGAACAGAATAAAAGGGTTAGTATAAAGAACTGTCACGAATCAACTGGCAATATTACTGGCCAACATTATGTGAGTCTTGTTTTATCACCAGATCCTGCTCCCACACAATGTATTTTAATGCAAGTAAATTGCCACTTTAAGTGTTACACGGATAACCAAGTTGTAGGCTGTTGAAAAGAATGGAATTTTCATTCTACATGTAGTTAATTTTCTCTGGTGTGATCTGGGGTGAGACAATCTCATGCATCGTGATATGCTAGGACACCAAACATTTACTGTGGCAACTAGGGTTCTTTCTTTGTACTTTAGGAATAGTAAAACACAAAATTCTTCTTCCCTAATGTTTCTTGAAAATATACTTAGAAAATGAAAATATACTTGTGTTTCACACAGTCAGACTGATGTCAAGGGGAAAAGAG